TGTGCGAGATAGTCGGGGCCAAGAACCGATGCACTCACAGGGGGGGGTTCTCCCTTGTCCAGTTAGTTTTCGGCGAAAGCCCTCGCCTCCCCCGAAGCTTGCTTTCTGATGGCGCGTGCGACGAGGTCGGGGTGGGTGACGTGGTCCGGGGAGCCGTTGGCGCTGACACTCCTGCGGGGGCGTTTGCCCGCAAGCATGCCCTCCGGGAGGAGGCCAAGAAGGCCGTCATGTCCCTGGATGTTCGGGATCGCCTCGTCGCGGCTTCGATGTCTCGTCGACGCATCGATGCCGCGTATCCTCCGGGCAGCTGGGTCTACGTGTGGCGTCGAGTCCAGGCCAGGGATAGGTCACATGACCTCGGCCGAAGCCGCTGGACAGGCCCCGGCGCAGTCGTTTTTCAGCAGGGCACGACAATTTGGGTCGCGATGCACTCCGTGGGCAGGAGCAGGTGCGCTGGGCGACCAAGGAAGAAGCTTGGGGGGCCGAGTTACTGGACCTTCCGTCTTTCGACTCCTTCCGTCGGGATCTTCAGAGCCCTGGGAAGCGCGTGGGGGCGGTCGACGTGGAAGCCGAGGGGCCCCCTCCCCCCGAGGCGTGGGACCTTCCGGGCCCCCCCGAAAGCTCCGGCGAGGCGTCAGTAGCGCCGGTCCCAGGGCCGCAGGCGGCTCCGCCTTCCGAGGACCCAGGGCCAGCTCTAGCGCCAGAGGTGGCAGGGCCCGAGCCGCCGCCTGTTCCAGCCGATCAGACCTCGACCGAAGGCCCCATTTCTATTTCCGATCCTCACCCCTCCGACCTCCGGCTTCCCTCTCCCCCGCCCTCTCCCTCCAGGCAGATCTCGGACCAGGAGTCGAGACGTCCTCGGCCAAGGCGCGGGGTCGAGGGCTCCGGGGAACCGAGCTCCGGGTATGAGTTAGGGCCACCCCCTTAACCGGCGTCCGCGTCTAGAGGAGCCGCCTCCACTCCCTCAGGCACGGCCGGTGCTCACCCCGGTCGAGGAACTTCCTCCTGCGGGAGGTCGAGTGCGAGCCATGGTCCGCGAGCGTGATGGCGAAGACCTGCGTGGCCGGACGGCCAGGCAGATGCGCTTGCTCGATGATGTTCCAGTGAGCATCCGGACTCACGATCTGTCTCGACAGAGTTTGGCGCTCTCAGGTGACGGCGGCGCCGCTGCTGCCTCGTCCGCTTCTGCATCGCGAGCGCGGTCTCGCACACCTGAGCCCAGGGAGGCCCCCGTGCTGGGGCGCGGAGGTGAGCCTGTCACCGGCGCGGCTGAGCAAGCTGCGCGCCTGGCCGGCATGGAGAATGTTCCTCCGGGAGATCGTTTTCTGAGTTCTTGGGGGGCCGGACTGGGTGGGGAAGTTGAGTCTGGTTATGACGAAGACGGCCAGGAGGAGTTGTGGGAGTAAGTTTGCTCTTGGTTCGGCTGGGAACCTTCCTTTTGGTCCCGGGGGGGCGCGGCAGTTTTCCCTCGATGGCCGGAGTTTCAAGCGGGGGAGCTCCACCGAGCCGGCGAGGGGCCGAAGTCTCTCCCAAGAATCTCTCGCGTGCTGAGCGAGAGCTGTTCGTTTTCTCGGATGCGAAGGAATGGCGGGCCATTGTAGATTCTGGGGCTGTCCGAATCGTCCCGGCCCAAGAGGCCTCGCTGATCCGTCGCCGCTTCCCTGATCGCATTTCGGGGCCCCGGATGGTCCGACGTTTTAGGCCCCAGGAAGGGCTCGGGGCCGAGCCTATTGCTAAGTCTAGGTGGTGCGCGCAGGGTCATCACGACCTGGACAGCGAGGAGCTTCAGGTGTACTCTCCGACGCCGCAGGCGGAGAGCATCATGCTGACATTCCAAGCTGTGTGCTCGCTGAGTTGGGAGTTAGAGGTGGCTGATGCTAAAAACGCGTTTTGCCAGTCGAACAAGTTAGCCCGGCCACGCGGCCAGGTCCACTGTGAGCCTTGCCAAGGTCTTTCGCTTGGGCCCGGCGAGCTTATAGAATTGATATCGCCAGTCTACGGGCTTAACGACGCCCCGCTGCTGTGGCGTCGGAGGATCACGCAGTGGTTAGCTGAGGACGGGTTCGAGAAAAGCCTCTTGGAGCCCTGCCTCTGGGTCACGCGCTCTTCCCAGGGCAAGCCTCGTGCCCTGTGTCTGATCGAGGTCGACGATTTGATCGTCTCAGCTCACCCGTCAGAGAAGGCCGGCCTCAAGACTAGGTTGCAGTCGCGTTTTCGGTTTGGCAAGTGGAAGACCGGGGAATCCGATCTTGCGGGTCGCCACCTGCGCCAGGCAGGCAATCGCATCTACGTGGATCAGGGGAATATGTGCTAGAGCAGTTGACCGCTATGCCGCTAGCTAAGGAACGACGAGCCGTCCCTGATGACCCTCTCACGCCCAGTGAGATCAAAGCGTGCAGGACCATGGTGGCGCAGATCCAATGGCTAGGCAGGGAAAGCAGGCCGACGTGGCCGCGTGTGCGTCGCTCCAGAGTGCGGCTCTCCCATCTCCCCTGGTGTCGGATGCGATCCTCTGCGTCGGAACCGTCAAGCATCTCAGGGGCACTGCCAGCCAGAAGATAGCGATTTGGCCCCTGGACCCATCAAGTGTGACATTCGCCACTATCTCTGATGCAGGAGGTCCCGGGTCCGCGAGGCGCAATGGAGCCCAAGGCGGTTGGCTGGTGCTGGCAGCCGACTCGAGTATGCGGCAGAACTGCCGAGCGAGAGTATCACTTTTGGCTTGGAGGTCGACGCGCCTCAAGCGGGTCGTAGCGCCCACCGGAGCAGCGGAGACGTTGAGTCTCTCGGCTGCGCTGGCGGAGGCCCAATGGTTGTCCATCATGTGGCGCGATCCTATTTTTAAGGACGTGGTACGTCCCGATTGGCACCTGTCGCAGGCCCCTTTTTCTGTCGTGCTGAGCAGAGACTGCACGTTGTCTGAGCAGGTTGAGACGATTTCGGTCGTTGACGCGAAATCCACCTTTGACGCGCTCTCGAGGAACAGCGCGTGCAGCCGCGCGGACAGTAGAAATGTTATCGAGTTGGCGGTCGTGCGTGACAGCATGAGTGCGGTAGGGCCCCAGGTCCGCTGGGCCCCGCACGGCCGCGTGGCCGCCGATCCTTTGACCAGAGCGGATCCAGGCCGATCGAACCTCGCTCTTCTGGACCTCCTCAGTAAAGGCACTGTGGTTCTAGTCGACGAGGAGGGTCACCTCTCCGAAAGGGCCCTCAACTCTCACCTCAAATCCCGCTCCCGGCTAGCGTCGCGGCAGGCCCTGATGGGCGACCGTCAGGCCGGAGAGGACATCGAGCAGGCAAGGGAAGTCGGGAGGAGTGCAGGAGAGGACAAGGTTTCTTTTCCCATCGCAATTCCACGAAAAGTGGCCCCGTTGTGGTGTGTCTCCCCTTCCCTCCACAACTCTTGGAATTGCGCGTGGTACTGTATCAGCCATTTTGGCTTAGCGCCATCCTGCCACAGGATGTAGGTGACTCCTTGGGCCCCTCAGGCGTTGACAGTGAAAACGAAGCGCCCCCCGCTCCTTCTTGGTTGACTTCATGCCCGACGACAGTGCCGACAGGTATTCCCAGTCTTCGGAGGTGGCGTGGGAGACACCATGGCCTTCAATTCCTGCTCAAGATTTCGCGGCGATCTGGCCATCGGCGCCGACGCGGTGCGCAGTGGCATCAGAGGGTAGGGAAAAGGGAACGGAATTGTGAATGTGAGTGAGTGTGGTAACCTTGCGCCGAACCGACTTGAGCCGTATCCACAACTGCAAATACGGTGTCGCATTTTCTCTCTCGGTGTTGCCCCTGGCCGTCGTTGTCTCTCCGACGCGCGACGCCTCCGACTGACTTGCAGCTGCGCACGCGGCAGTTCCCATCACCTCAGTCCCGGCAGCCCCCCCCTCTGAGGCCTCGGCCGCGCTTAGTTGTCGCCTCGCCCGTCGCTCGTTCCCCCCCCCCCCGCGCTTATCTTGCCAAATCCGCCTCGGCCTCTTGCTTGCTCAGCTCACCCTGGCAGCACTGTGCCCCAGTTTGCTGTTAATTAGTTTGTGGCGCGCCCCGCTTCGACTTGACACGCCGTCGGCGCTTCCGCCCGCGGCCGTTGACTAAAAACGTATCCACACTTGCATGTCTGCTCTCGCGACAGGAGCTTTCGTGCCCTTCCTGGCCATTCCCCTTCGTCGGCTCGATCTGGCGGTTGGGTTTTTGGGACGCAGGGCCACGGGCGCGTTTATTTCACGCTCGTCCACTTGGTGGGCTCGCGCCGTCCGGCTCACGGCACCTGATTAATGCCGACTTGCAGGCCGCATGCGGTTACACGATGCTGAGCACGTACTTCGAGGACGACGGGTCTCTGGTGCGCCTGGGCGTTGACGTTCGCACCTGAGCTGTGCCACGGTAGTCGCCCGCCCTCTTCTTTGCCCGTCCGCCGCCCGCGTTCTCTCCTCGCTCGGCCTGTTTCCCCCGCCTGCCAGCTGCTCTAGAATCTCGCTTGCGCGTAGGCTTTGCTTCATTCGAGTTGTGGGCGCCGCGCGGCTGCCCGCTTGCGGTTGCGAGCAAAAAGGCGTATCCACGTCTGCCAGTTCAGCGTGAGTATCAGGGCGGCCTCCGCCTATCAGGGACGACGGTAGGAGGGGATAGGCAGAATGGGTGATGCCTCAACCCAGCACCGCCCAAACATGGCCGATAGGGACCCAAAAGCGCCAATCTGCCCAGGAAGGTGCGGATTTACCGTCGGGGGCCCCTCGTCGATCTATCGGACATGTATCGCCGATTACAGGTCGATTTCCCCCCCTTTTATGACAACCCCCCAAAACCTCGACCAAAACTCAAACGACACCACCCCCGTCTACGGCCTTCCACGTTGCGTTGCGGCCCATCGGGCGCCGCAGCGTACACCACGCAAGAAGCCGAAGCCGGAATTCATGGTGTACGCTAAGGCCCGCGGGGCCGTAGGTGGCTTGGTGTCTGGTCCACTGTCGTTGTCCTTCCGCCTACCCCCGTCTCCCCGCCAGGCCTGCGCAGCCGCCGCCTGCGCGCGGCCACGCCGCGCCCGGGCACCTGGGCGCGCCTCCGCCGCCGGAGGTGCCCCGCGTTGCGGGGTTGCGGCGATGGCGACGGCGACGACGACGGCGACGGCGACGACGACGACGACGACGGGAGTGTTGAAATGGGGGGCGATTCTTAAATGCATGGCGAACGAAAGCTGCACGAAAGGGCACGGTCGCGTTCTGGGTTGGGTATTCAGGGGGGCGATAGGTGTGTGGGGAACCAAGATTGTCGAAGGGTTTGCAGATAGGCTGCGGTTTCGGGCGTTTCTGGAGATCCCGTCGCTTAGGCCGGAGGCGGCTCGGGAAGCTTGTCAGGGTGGGCCCCTGGACGGAGTTCTGGCCATGGGCTCGGAGCGGGTTTTGGCCCGTTGACGCCGCCAACAACGACGACGACGACGCCGCCGCTGACGACGACGACGACGACTACGACGACGACTACGACGCCGACGACGACGACGACGACGACGACGACGACGACGGGAGTTTTGAAATGGGGGCGATGGATGTGCGGGGAACGAATGTTGCAAGAAAGGGCCCCCAATACGGTCCTGAAGGCCCCCATCAGCGGCCCTGGAGGTGCACGAAAGCTCACACTTGTCTTCAGTTCCCCCGTCTCTTGTCCCCCCCCCCCTAGCAACGCCCGACCATGACCGAGGTGGCCCACGTCATATTGCCCCTCCCCTGAAGCAACGCCCGACCACAGAGGAGGTGGCAGCGGTTGTGGCGACGTGGCGAGTGGGGTTGAAGGGGATATTTGTCCGGGGTGGGGTCATGCTGTTCTGAGAGGGGGGTCACAAGGGGTCTGAGAGCTCCAGTTGGGCTTGAAAGGGGGCTCGAGGAGAGGGATGGGGAACAGGATGTCGAGGAGGCTGAGGAGCAGAAGGAGGCGAAGGATGGGGGGGCATGAGGCGGAAGAGGAGGAGGAGGAGGAGGAGGAGGCAAGGATGTATCTTCACGATGTAGTTCCAGCAAGGGTGGGCCTGGTCGCCGGCGGCCAGCTGGTGTGGTCTGCCTGTAGGTAAAGGCGGGGGCCTAGTTCGGGATAGAACTCGGGCGCTCGAGTTCCATGGCATGCCAGCCCTTGTCTGGCTAGAGAGGAAATACAGGAAGATAATTAATACAGGAGGAGAAAACATAGATGACCCTCTCGCGTAATGAGTAAGTACAAACGGAGGCTTTCAGACCAGTCTCTGGCTTCGGGGGCCCCTGCCAGGCCCCAGGACCGTCAACATAACGGCTTGGGACGCAAGTCGGCTCCCGGGAGTCCGGGGAGTCCGTAGCCATGCTGGCTCAAGGACCCGGCTCAAGCCAGATTTTGGATATTCTGTTGGAAAGGTCGGGTTTTATATGCGTACTTGTTCACCATGCATGTTTCATTGTAAGTACAACGCCAGCGGCATAATGATGTTGTTCATGATGCTGTTGTCATGTATAGATTTGGGCGACGGGTTGACAATTATACCTTCAGGCTCAGAAGTGCCAACGAACAGCCTTCATACTGTGGTCTGTGCGCAGTGCCAGAATGGGTTCTTCAATGGTTCGGGCAGAGTTCAAGATATTGCTACAGACATGGATCTCCGCCGTGCATTCGCATTACAAGGTGGCGTACTGACAGCAGAGTTCGGTGATTCGGCACAGAGGAAGTCGCTTAGGAGTTCTGCATCGCCTCTTGTTGAGTCTGGGCCGTTTAGCGGAAAAGGTCAGTGTCCATTAGAGACGTTGGACATAATGCAGAAAGAATGCGAGAAGATGAGTGATATTGGTCAGCATTGTAGTCACACGAGTATCATCGACCGAGTCTCAACGCATTACTTGAAATCCAAGCTCTGGTCAGATGTTCCTCTGCCCAGTGTCCTGGATCGCTTGTGGAAGATTGATACTTCATACGCGGTTGATGGAGCCAAGGTCACGACGCTTCATGAAAGTGGTATATACCTGGTAGAAAATTTCATAACAGCTGCCGAAGCAGATCACATGGTGCAGATCAGTCTTGGCAAGTATGAGTACTCAGGAATCGGTTGCCCTGTCTTGCGGCATAAATGCTATGATCCTGACTTCTTGACATACCCGGGCAACCATTGCGAGCTGCGGACGTCTTCAGCTGTCTGGCATCCTATGCCAGACTCCACATTGAGGCGAATCCGATCAAAGCATGAGCAACTAACAAATGTTCCGGAGAAGTTCTTCGAGCAAACACAGACATCACAGTACGAGCCTGGGCAGTTTTTCTCGTCCCATTATGATGACGATGCTTGTGAAGACCAGATTCCGGAAGTAAAAGAAAGCTGCACACTTCTAGAGCGACGCATGGTAACGGTTCTTACTTACCTAAACGATGATAGTGTTGGGGGTGCGACTTATTTCCCTGATCTTGACATCCGGATTTTTCCAAAGAAAGGCAGTGCAGTATTATTTTTCCCAGTGTCTATTGATGGCATGTTGAATCCTTATGCACGGCATGCTAGTGAAGAGTCAATCAGCACCAAACATGTTATGCAACAATGGATTGGATTGGCTGGTGCAATGTCTCATTGAGTCTCTTGGCGCCTTATCAACAAAAAAAAAAACGTATCTGGTAAGGGCCGAGACCTCCGCGGGTCCAGGTTGCGAAAAGATCGTGGCTTCGGGGGAACGGGTATCACCTTTCAGATGAACCATGGGGGCCACCGCTTGCTACTTGCTGCTTCTGCTCTGCCTCGTACCCCAGAGGCTCACGCCATCCGTTGGATTGCTAGAAGGACGGAGTCTTCACAACATCCCAGGTTGCTCAGGTGCTCTTGGGAGTGCAGGATGCCCTTGGGACGGCGAAGAGGAGGAGGCAGGGGAGAACAAGGCACACGGTGATGCTGAGACGTTGCTGAGTGAGCACCCTTGAACATGATGAGCTCACAGTTTTGCACACGGAGAGACCGTGCCGATGCGAGAATGCGCATGCGAGAAAGGCTATGGTGAGAGAGGTAGCGTGGCGGGCGCGCGTTCGTCTTCCCTGGCAGTGCATGTTGGGATCCCCCCCCGTGCCCCCCCCGGGCCATCTGCGAAGCAGGACCGCACTGAGATCACAGAGTCACAGAGGAGTTGTCACCGCGGGGCCTCATGGGGGCGCGATTATGCAAACATTCCAAGCGGGGCGCCTCCAGAATCTCTCACGACCGCTAAAGGTGTCCCCAATTGGCAGACTGTTGCTTCCAAGGACGCCTCCAAGTTAACCCCGTGCCCGTGATAAGAAAGCGTCCCCCCCTCTTTAGACCTGAGAGGTGATGACCTCGGGCCAAGACAGAATTGGTCTGCGGAGAGGGGCGGCGAGGCCGAATTTCGTTCTCGCGGGGGAAGTACGAATCTAAGTTTCTACTTTCTTGTGTTGAGTAGCGTTTTATACATCCTACATCATTGTATCATTAATACCCGGGTTGCAACTACGACTACGACTATTATCATTCACCTATAACAATTACAGTTGGCACGTCATCATATTGCTACTACTACTTCGACTACCACGACTACGACGACGACGATTACTACTACTACTACTACTACTCCTACTACTACTACTACTACTACTACGACTACTACTACTACTACTACTACGACTAGTAGTACAATTACTATTACTAAAACTCATACTACTACAATACTACTAATTCTACTACTACTGCTACTACTACCACCACCAATGCTACTGGTATCACTACTACTACGACTACTACTCGACTACTACTAATAGTATTGCGACTACTACTGCGAATCGTACTACTTCGACGAGTACTACTTGTACTACGACTAGTACTACTACTACTACTACTACTACTACTAGTAGTAGTAGTAGTACTACTACTACTACTACTACTACTAGTACAACTACGACTACTACTATTACTACTACTACTACTACTACTACTACTACTACGACTACAATTACTACAACAACTACTACAACTACGGCTACCCCCCCCTGTATTAAGAAGTCAGGATTAGCACTGCAGACACCCCTCGCATCGTCGTTATCCGACAGGGCCGGGAGCTTCGACCCTCGATTGTTCAAGATGATCCCGCGACAGGCCCGCGTGCCGAACAACGGAAAGGCACCGCAAGACGCTGGGCGTTGGAAGCAACACGTTCTGTTTCAAGTCGCCCACGCCGAGAATACACATGACGTGCGGGAAGTCCCAAGCAGAAACGCAGTTTTCAGGCAACATAAATCGGACCGGAATTCTTGTGTCCGGAAGTCCTGAGCATAATCGCCAAAATCCGGTGTCCTTTGATGATTTCCAGTCGTCTCAAAAACGCCAGAAATATTTTGGGTGGAGTCATTGGGCGGAGTGCGAATTTCGGGTCGTCACCAGATTTGGCGATTATGCTTTTAAAAAGGGGTGGGGATGCACCAGAAATTTTGCCATGGCGGCCACTGCAACATTGTGCCTGGCCCTCGTGGCCTAACGGGAGCCGAACATCAAAGCTTAGTCCCCGACTTCTGCGGTCTGGTCTTTATAACCCAGGGGGGTGACCACCGCGAGAGCGTCGCCGTTCGTGCATTTGTGCAGTACCCACTTAGAAAGCGGGCGCCCACGCCGAACAAGGCGCATTCACCATTCAGCGCGCGCCCCGGGCAGGTTAGAGCTTAGGCAATCTGCCACCCTCTTTTTGTGGTTGGGCGATAGATGACAAGAAATGCTCCGACCTGCGCGTGTTCGACCGCCGCGCAGCGGTCCGCAAATGCCTGGCGAACGGGTCTCTGGGCTCACCGGGCACGTGTCGTCCAATGAAAGCGGCGGCCGCCTGCGCTTTGAGCGCCTCGTCGGCGGCGGAATCTTCCGCTCACTCTGCGAGCGAGCTCTCGGAACCTACCCCTCGAGGCAGCATCTTTGGGCAGCTCTCGAAGGGGCATTCCAAGACATGATTTTGCCTGCCTTCGAAAGGCCTGGGCTCGCGAGAGCCTCGAAACAGCCATCTTCATGATTTGAACCGAAATGGCTACGGATGCAAGCGATGCATCCTTACCTCGAAAGGCAACCACCCCCTGGATTAGAAAGTAAAGAT